ATATGTTCCGCCTAATGAGATTTGAACCTGAACACCTTTGCATTTGGCTTAAAGCACTTCAAAGTCAGTATGTTTCGTTTGAAGATGCCTTTTCATGCCCACAGTTAGATCATTTTTCAACAAATATTGAATTATTTGCAAAGATATGTTTCAAAAGTGTAAGCATTTGGTTTATCTCAATGAGGCTGCTAGGTGATTATATGTACATCAATTTGAAGTTAGTTGCTAAATACGTGATTAGAAATAAGTTAATTTTTCTGAGGTAATTGGTTGAGCTATGCCGTACTGGTTGGGTACAGGCATACATAAGTATATATGTATGTTTATACAAAATAAATTTACAAAGCTATGCATAATCAAAATACATACGACTGTAAATCAACAACAAATTCCAATAGCAAAACAAAAGCAGATGCTCGAGAGCAACAAAAAGAAAACAAATTAAATCAAATGAAATTAAGAAAGAAAACAATGAATTAAGATTAACCAAAGAAAAGGCTATGGCCAATGGAATGCCAAGTGGTTCATCAGCCGATTTTAAAAAATGTATTAGAACGCGAGTAAACTCTAATTTTATGAAGAGATAAGGTCACCCGAGCGATGAAACGCCTTAAGTTGGGCAGGAAAGTAAACTGTGGCAAGCGATGAACTGAGTACATGAGTTGCTGTTTTGAGTCGCTTTGAAACAATTTCTTTATCCACATACTTTATTTTAATTTGTATCTACTTTGTAAATATGTATGTATGTATGTATATTCCAAATTTGTTTTTTTTTTTTTTAACTTATCGCCTGCTGTAAATAAACTAATGAACTAGAAATATTTACTAATTAGTTGAAAAATTGATATTACTAAGCAAGTTTATTGCTTTTAGTGGCATAAATTCTCAAGATAATAATTGAGATTGAAAAATTTATAAACGAAAATGTTAATTATTTTCATTGCTATTGTACGAGATTTGTTTGGTATGTATAGTACATAGTTTTGGTTACCTTTATAAAATTTATTAACCCAAAAACTAGGAGGAATAGCAAAACTTCAAATAAATTTGCTAACTTTATTGTTTAGTAAATATACATACAGTTCGTGCAGTTGAATGATATACATATTTAATTGGCAATAAATGAATTAAATATGTACATATTTTATCAACATACTAGTAAATCAATATACAAACAGTTAGATGTAAAATTATTAACTCATTGAATTGCGTCAAATATTGTTAATATATTTAAGTGCGTGCATATCATACAGGCTCACACATCAGAATAGATCCGACATAATTTTAACTTTAATTGTTTGGTGCATCTACTATATCCGAAAGTTGCTTTTGTAAATGCAGTGAGAAAGCCTATGCAATGCACAAACAAACAACATCTACATTGCAGATGGTGTGCAATGCGTAAAATAACCACATTTGCACTATTTTTGGTGCTAGTTTGACATATTTTCAAAATAAATTAGAAAAAAAATACAATTTAATCCTTTACCGGAATAGACTCAGCGCAATTAATTTCGTATTTTTTCGTATTTTAAAACCTCTTGCTTTCTCAAGTGTTTATAAGTAAGATTTAAAGGCTTATTAGAAAAATTAAAACGACTTAAGTGGGCTTATTTGGAGTCCTATTTTATGCACTATTTAGTTTAGGATAAATTGCAACTGAATTCGAAACCGCCCCCTTAAAACCAGCTGATACGGTTATATGGGTGCACGATTACGAAATTACATTTTTCACTTTGTCGTTCATCTCCATTAAAATTGCTTATAAGATCTTGATTCTCTATCAAAATTTTTTTGCAATTTTGTTTTCTTCTGAACCTCATTTTTTGTTCAACAATTAAATTGTTCCTTTTTTCTTATTACGTTAAAAAAAAAAAAAAACGACCAATGATCTTGCCCACGTGGTGGTTTTTGGTGTCTTTTGTTCGTGAATTGAACTTGTGATGAGAAGTTGGTGGAATTTTTTCTAATTTACGCACACAGTTAGATATTCGGTTTTATGTACTATATATGGTTTTATTTTGATAATGATCTACACTTTTATAAAATAATAATGAATATTAAACGAAAGCCAAACTAGTCAAAATGTTGATGTGCTATCTTTTGACGCGGGTTGTACCTTTGGTGCTTCATTTGTAAAAACCGCTTGAAGACAATCTAGTAGATGCAGCATAAATACAATTAAAGTTGAAGATCATGTTTAAACCTATTCTGCTAAGTGTGGCTGTATAATTTATTTGGTTGTCTAAATTTTTGTCAGCGACCCCCAAAAGACTGTACCACAATTATTCTGAAGGGACTATCTCTAAGCCTTTAAAATCATGGGGCACTCATGTTTCCGGCTTTAGTCTAGCATGTGCTTCCGACCGTTTTTTGGAACACGAATTTTAAGTAAGATAAAATCACAAAAAGAGTTATATACCCATTCATGCAGGTGAACATATGCTACTTTACTAAAATAATAATGCACTTGTTATATAGGTTGCCGCAATCTTCCTAGAATTTACATTATACATACATAAACAATAATTTTCCGAAAACTCAAGACGTAACTTTGGACTTGACACAGTTTCGCACTTGCATTAAATAATGTACTGAAGTATTTAGAGTATAAATATTTATTTTTGCTTACTAATGCAATGCTTTGATATCGCATATCACGTATGATTCATCAGCAAAAGCGAATTAGTATTTATATTTTTTTTTAACCCGGCAGTAAACTGAGCTCATTTACGTGCCGTGCATAACTATGTATGTAGATAATTTTGAAACAATGGGCCTTATGAATAAAAACAAAGCAATTGATTTTTCTTAAAGTTTCAGAACTTTTACTTAAATTTATATTATTATTACATTAAACAAGCAATTCTTGTATATATGTATATATATCCATAGGGTTCTCGGAAACGGCTCTAACGATTTTTGATGAAATTTTGTACATAGATAATCTTTTGGATTTTAAGGTTATCTGAATAGGCATTAACTCCGAGAAGACTCGTATAGGGTTGCCACCTATTCGAAATTAGTTACAATTTAATTAAAACATTATATTATGGGTATCAAATGGAAGGTATTTTAAAGATCCCTTATTCAAAAATATTTTTATTAGGGTTGCCACCTAATTTGAATTGCATATTTATTTAAATTATTGTTTAGAAAAACCGGTAAAATATTACTATTCATGGGTTCTTAAACAATACTTTCCCTATATATAAAATGTTATCTCTTAGGATAATAGTGTAAGGTTGCCACTTATCACAATTTATCTAAGACATCGCAATATGGATATCAAATGAAAGGTATTGCTAAGAACTTTGGTCAGAAAATATTTTCCCTCAGGGTTGCCACGCTTCTATGTAATACAAATTTTTATTTTGTTAATTTCAATCAACATTTCTTTTATGTATACACAGTACATATACGCTTAAGATATGTACCACTCATTTCAGTGTATTTCGGAATAGGGTTGCCACCTAAATTTTAGAGTAAGGAATTTACTTAATAGATATCGAAATCCATTTTTTTTTTGTTTATTTTCAAAATATTTTTGTAATGCTATCCACATCTTGAAAACTTTACTTTACTGGTAAAAGTAATTGCTTGGCTTTTATTTATAAGACCCAATATTATGATCCAAGTGTATTTCTCTTTTTTGGCAATCTTCTAACTGAAAGCTGCAGCAATTTTTATTATGGAAAAGTCCTATTCTGGTCGGATGCTTGCTAGAGACCAGTGCCCCGTTTTATGCTTGATCTATTAAGCAGATGCGACATCTTCTACCTGTTATAATAAGGTTAAAGCTCTCTTCTTATCTTGCAGGTCTGTATATCTGACCACCTGTTTCTAGCCAGTTCAAGGAAATACCGTTGATTTTTGAGAATTTTTTTACTGACGCTCTTCGGTATTTTTTCCCATATAAAAAAAAAACTATCACGCATTCGTTATATGGAGAAAACGAGCAACATCATCAGCAAAAAAAAAATTCTCAAAAATCAACGGTAGTTCATAGCCACTTGAAACTTGTACTTCTTGAACTGAAATTGAGTGAACTACAAATCCGCATTCTCAAAAAAATTCTAAAAAATTGTATTTAAAAGTTGAAAATTTTGGTGAAATTTTGTCGAATTTTCCTAAATTTTGTAAAAAATTTGAATCATTAATTTATATGCCGTTCGATGCAGAATGAACTATATTTCTATTAATTTTCACGAAAAAAATTTATTACGAAAAACATTGCAAATATTAACAAGCAAAAAAAGCCGACTTCAATTCTCATATAAAAAAAAATATATATATATATATATATTTCATGATCCAATGATCGGATCTAAACCAGATAGGTATGGGACCACCTCTGAGACACTACCTTTCCAATGCAAAAAGAATTATTGACGTGGGCCAAAGTTATGCGGTAACATACATAAATATGTTAGTGTTTGGCCGAGCTTCCCCTCCGATTTGTGGCGTGCGCCTTGATGTTTCCTGTCTTCTACAAAATCAAAAAATTGATTACCATATTTTTTGAAAGTAGTGTTGTAAGAATAAAACGACATAATTATTTAAAAAAAAAAAAAATCTAAAATGATAGAAATGAAATATAGTAGGGGTCTTCATCTTACATGAACGCACCTTGGTAAATAATTGCATACAATTTTTTATTATTTAGCTTATAAGGCTAGTTACGTTTCATTTTTACCACGTCCATTGTGCTAATTTGCTTTTGATGTTTTCGTAGCAAAAGCGACCAGCTGGCAACCTGTCAGAGTTAAATTTTGCTAAAATTTATACATTTATCCACACAAATTTGTTGATAGTGTTAAACTTTGGTTAAATCGAATTCGATACAAAGTTTTGACAGTGCATTTGTCAAACTTATAAATTTATCTTTTTATCAAGTTTATTAGCAGTTTATCACTTTAGATAAAGACCCCTAGTTATAAACTTCTTTCGCCACATTATTGATCTATGCACATTTTCTTTTCTTTTTCTTATAAACGCAGTTGAGTGACATTTTCGGAACGAATTACCGCGTACCACATACGGCTAAATCAATTACAATTACATTAGCGCCAAATACACATTTCCGCTTGGAAAGGGATTTATTCGTGAATAATTCACGCATGAATAGATTCACTATTTTTGGTTCACATCGAGATGGCGAACAAGTGGAAATCACAACAGGCGCTTTTCCAGGTGGTGATGGCATCATTGGACCCTATCCAGAAATTTTGATGCAGGATGTGTTTTCGGTGGTGGTGCGAGAGCGAGCATTTTTAGGTGAGTGGTGAATGCAAATTTTAATTTGAAATTCATTAAAAATTTATCTTTTATTTTTTGCTCTGTTGTAGGCAATAAAAAATTCACTGTACGCAATAGCAACGACTTGATTTTATACTCGAATGCTTTCAAGAGAGCCGAAATCAACGGACGATTTGTGGGTGTAGCCGATTTGCGTATAGAGGAGAAAGCTTTTAATTCAGCAAATGCAACGGTAAGTTATTTTCGTTTGTGTAGGGGGATTTGTGTTTTTACTATGCTCTAACTCGGGCAGTTGCATCGATAAAAACTAGACACATTTTTGACTGGTATATATTTCAAAAAATTTTCCCATTTATAAAACAATTTAATCGATTTTTCGAGAGCATTAGACTCCATCGGTTCAAAAAAGGTAAACTTTCTTAGTCCATGCTAGCAATCGAAACATCATTTAAAATTATTGAAATAAATACTTAGTTTCAAAAACTTCCTCTTCTTTCAGCTACACATCGAGAATTCGCACATCGACAACATCTACCGCTTTGAAGCATCCCTGCGTGAGATTAAGTTCAGCAATTGCAGCATTGGCACCATCAATAGCGGCTCCTTCGATGTCAATACTATAAATTTTATTGCTTTCGTAAATAGTCGCATCGATGTTATTAAATCGCGGGCTATTACCGAAAAGGTGAGTGTAGACAAAGTTTGACTAAATCAGAGACAACCAAAATGTAATCCGCGGAAGGGATTCTAACGGTTATGACCTTTATAAGTGATAAAAATCATAATTTAGTCGCTAAAATTGAATTTCAATTTTTTCGATCAAATTTAACCGTTATTTTAAAAATGATAATTTTTGTTCAAGAATAACATTAAACAAATTAATTGAGCTTGAAGCCGTTTTTTATGGAAAAATTGTTGTGGAAAAAAACAACCATAGTTTCCAGAATAATTCTGCATAAAGCCATAATAGGCCAAAAAATTACAAACAAAAAAACGATCAAGAATAATCGTAATTGTTGGATTTCTATTTTTTCGATCGTTATTTTTTGATTTTTACTTTTTCGATCATATGCTAACCGTTATTTTTTAGACCATTCAAGAATTAAATTCGGACATAAAAATGCAGTCTCCATTATAACGGTTACAAAAATTATCGATATAAATATAAGTCCAAAATAACGATTAAACAATAAAACAATAAAAACCACAAACATAAAATTCCGATTTATCAATGACTCTAGATCGAAAATTAAGAGTCAAACAATGACGATTTTGCAATGATCTAAAAAAAATCTGAATATTCAACAGTTAACGGGATAGGTTTTAGGTTTTATGTAGATTTGATACCAGTGGCGATCAGATACAAGTTTTTACTGTATACGTGTCCGTCTATAACAGTTACAACCAAAACAAATCCCACGGGGGACTTTTTTAGAGCTACCTATAGATTTTAAATCAGTTATGGGCAAGGGGAGCTTTTACTCTGCACGCGTCTATACAAAGTGTATAGAAGGCTTTAGAGACCTTTGCCCGCAGGCAATATAGAGAGTAAAAACTCTGTCAGCAGCGTTAAGGAGTTTCTTCCGAGGCCTAGGCTGTGGGTGTGAGCATTTTTTATATAGACGCGCTAAGAACAAGAGCTTCCGTCACTAGTCTAAATCGGTGATGGTCAGCGCCTTGCCCGCATGTAAAGCTTCTTTAAGCACTCTATAAATTTTGTGTAGACGGGCACAGGTTAAAAATAAAAAAGCTCTATCTGCCCATTTCTAGGCTAAATACAAATTCCGCTTAACTCAAACAAATTTTCATAAATCATCTTTGTAGTTGTTTAGCATGCATTTGTCCATCACTGAAAGCGTTATCGGCTACATCGAAGGCGAGGCCATACATGGCAGCGGCATAAACGAGCTGATTTTTCGAAATAACCAGTAAGTATCACGCTCGCTCAGCTATTTTCCAAATAAGAATGAAATCTGATAACTCTCTATCTACCACAGAATCGATACCATTCACGAAAACGCCATACATGTAAACGCCATCAATGCAACCATTACCGCCAATCGTATCAAACATCTCGGCCAGAATTGGTTACGCGTCAAGGAGTGGTCTAATATTGTAATTGAGAAAAATATTTTCGGTGACTTCGGTGGCATTATACTGGAGGAAACAAAGAAACCCGGCATTTGCCGTTTCGAAAATAACTCGCTCACAAAACTCAAGCCGGGTGGTTTGAATATAACAAATCGTCATTGTATAATGCGTGAGATCTCCGTCAATTCACCATGTCGCTGCAATCGAGATTGGCTGGCCAATCTGTCCGACCGCGATTTGCGCTCCGAAATCTACTGTACAATCGATACGAAATTGGGTGCTTGTTTCAATGCCACCTCCTTTAATATGCTAAAGTACGAGAATGAAGTGTGTGATGAGACGAAGACAACTGTTGATTGTGGCGCTAATCGCAACCTCAAGAAGGTGGACGGCAAATTCTTTACACTCGAAGAGCTCGAGCGCCAAGATTCGCAACTGCTGATATATATCTACCTCAGTGCAGCCATAATTTTGGCTGTCGTCGTTGTCATTATACTAGTGCTGGTGTTGCGATGCCTGTGTCGTCAGAAAAATGGCAGCGGTGGTGGCATGATGTCCTCCAATCATCATCGCCATGAGTTTACACAAAACGAACGACACATCATTGAACGCGCCCTACAACTCATACAGAAGCGATATCCACACATTCACGCACGCGTAGAACGTTTATGCCAAGAGCTGCTGCAAACCAATCGTACAGAGAAGCAATGCATACGAACTGTTACGAAAATCGAGAATTTATTGAGTAAAATTGAACGCTCGGAAGATCTGAATGCCTTCTGCAGCGTACTGGCACAGCACCTGCAACCGCAAACGCAATCGCTTCAACATACGCTGGAAGCAGTCTACAGCACGGGCAGCTTCGAGCAAGTGCAACGCGAGAATTACGATGGACCACTCTATGCGGTGGGCTGTATAGATACATCACACACTGTTGTCAGCATGGAGGCGGCGAGGATTGAAAGAGAGCGCGAGCGTGAACGCGAACGAGAAATAGAACGAGAGCGAGAACGCGTAAATAACGCATTGAATGGTCGCAATGACGACGCGACAAATGTGCCCAATGAACCATTCTACGAAGAGCTGGGTCAACCATTGCTGCCTGATTACGCATCACCTGCGGATCGCCGAGAATATGCTTCACCGCTTGATCATACGACGGGTCTAGGCACCGAATTGGAATATGCCGAACCTATTAATAATCGAGGTAATTTATTGTACTAGGGAAGAAAAAATGGCACGAGCATCACACAAATTTACTATACAAGTGCACTCTTGTCACCGGCACCGAAAACAATTAGAAGAATTGAAGTAAACACTTATTCCTCCACATTTTTTACATTGTAACGCACTGAAGGCTGTGAATTAATAAAATGCGAGAAAGAATGTAATAAATATGGACTAGAAATTGGTGTACTTAAGTACTTGTTGTGGTGAAAGCATACGGCCAATCACAAAGCTATGCGAAAGCTCGGCATCGACATTTTGTGCGGCAGTAGCTTTTACTGAAATTATACTGCAGATCAGTTAAAAGCAGTAATGGGCACAGTGCTTTTTTAAGCTATACAGTATACACTGTATATAGTATACACTGTGTTTGCTAGTTACGACTGAAATGATAAGCTTTATAAAGCTTTCTTTAGAGCAGCGGTGAGCAGAGAGAGAGCTTTTACTCTGCTCTGCACGCCTCTATAAAAATGTATAGAAAGCTTAAAGCGCTTTGCTCGCGGGGAAGACAGTGCCCATCAGTGCTTATCATGATGAACTTTTAGTAAAAGCTCTCTCTGGTCTTAGCTGGTGTATAAGCGTGCAAATAATAAAAGCTCTCCCTGCCCATTACTGCTTAAACGCAATTATGAAAATGGATTTAATTATAAAAATAAACATAAACGTACATATTTTAAAGTTTTACGATGAAAAAAATTAATTTGTGGATTTCATATTCATGAAATAATTATTCTAAATTTCTTGCGCTGTAATTGTAGTACCTCTCGAAAACAAAAACGAAAATTAAGCTTTAGATCTTTTTTAACCCTCAGCTCCGCACCATAGGTAAAATTTGCCCATGCGAAAACAATTTATTTTTATAGTTTTTAAGTGATAATGATGTGATGAGTAATAATTGTCTATGGTGGGGATAGCTGTTTAGAAACTTCTGTGTGAGCTGAGGATTAATAATCTATATGTAAATATTTAATATTAGTCTACTAAATTACAGTGCAATTTTTATTGACATTATCGATTTTATAATTTGGAGTAGATCGAAAATTTAAGCATAAGTAAAACGGTAAAATTTCACAGTAACAAAGGTTAAGCTGCGTTTACACAAAAAAGGCGTGGGACTTAAGATGCAAATGCTAATTAAAAACAAAAAACGATTGTCTTGTATGTATATAGCACAAAATTTTGTGATTTATATTTTGAAAAAGATGTGCAGCCAAAAGAGTTTTTAAAGTTAAATATCTTCGCCAAAAAATCGAATAAAAATTTTTAAAATAATGACATTTAACAAAAAAATTCTATGTTAGACAGATAGATAGATAGATAGATAGACATTAGTATGAGATGCCCGCTGCTCTTCACAACAGTTCGGCTAACCCAAAGAACCCCAAAAAAGTTTAGAAGAGTTGTAGGGGTCACCACATAAGGCATAGGTTTCTTTGGCACTTCCTGGATACGACACACAGACTGATAGCGTAAACCTTTGCCTGTAGAAATATTCGCCCTCTAATTGGCATCAATATCTCAGCTCTAGAATCCTCGACTCCTGCTCCTATGCTTCCGGGAGTTTTCAAACCGTCTGAAGACGCCTTAACAAAATTGGGGCAATTCATGCTTCTTTGCTGCAAAATTCAATACTGAACCTCTACTCAAATGTTATAACATCTCTGGGGTGTACGGCTAGCGGGAGCTGAGAGTTTGGTTTCTTCCTATTCCTCAGTGATATGGCATTTTCTCTGCCAAAATTCTCTCTAGCGAACTTAAGTAGAGTTCGTTTTACCGTGTGCTCTAGGCACATTGCTCCCGTAATACAAACAGATGCCAGACGTTGAAGCTTTGTGAGCGCCTGTTTGACGGTGGATAGAGTAGTCCTTGAGACCCGAACTACCGCCCCACATATTACCATAGGTTGTACTATCACACATGCACATCCATCTTATGTTGCTCGGGTTGCATCCCCAGCACTTGCCTTCCGGACGTTTGCGTATCATTAAAGCTTTTTTGGTTCTGGATATGGGTGCGCCTAAGCGCTGTTTTCATAGGAATTTGTTGTGCAAGGTCAGTCCTAGATAATTCACTTCACTTGTATCGCTGTCCGGAAGGGCAGATTGGTTGGTTGGGTCCTTTTATTAAGTATAGGTCTCTTTGAATTATTTCGAAGAGGGACATGTCGAAATTTCTTTCAGCGACTATGAATTTCACAAAAAAAAACAAACTGGGAAAAATTGTTTTTCTTTTGCTTTATAAATTTTGGAAATATTTGTTCACGTGAAATTCGCGATAGGGCCAAATATCTCTCCCCAACTGTAGTAGCGCTGGCCGGATTCCATCCACTCCAAGATAATAATAAAAATTGTTTAGTTAAGAAGTAAGCGGTTCCACTTTATATATATGGAAACTAAAATTTTTTTTAGTTACAACGTGGTGTTAGTTATATTCTAATCATAAATATTTAATTATCACCAAAATCATTTGTTATGCATTATTTTACTCCAAATTAATTTATTTTTTTTAGTTTTTTCGTTGTAATACTATATTTTAGTTTAAATGTGCTCTTATTTGTAAATAATATGAAATGGTGTCGTTATTTATATACATACATATAGTATAAGTTTATTTAAGCTTAGCACTTTAATTATTTTTATTGAAGTAAACTAAAATAATAAGAAATAAAATTTTAAATATAAAAAACTTGAATTGGCTTAAATTAAAAACATAAATAAAATGTGAATTCAGTTACGGCCAAATCCAAAAAATGTTTTTTTGTACCTAACATTTTTTTTAAACCATCAGAAACAAAAAGAAGTTTATTGAATTCACACTATTTAATGCACTTTCACTACAAACTCCGACCATGTAAAGTAGTCGCTCCGGTTCCGCGCGAGTAAAATTGGCAGCACTAACAAGTCACAACAAAGAAACACTTCAGGTATTAAAAAAAAACACTATTTTTCTATGCATCCAGTAAATATGTAGTGGTAGCTATTAAGTAGTAGAATTAATACATCTGCTGCACTATTTGATTTACATATACAGTTATTAAAAAGGTGTCGGTAGCGTACTACGCACTCTATAGGCTTCTTTGCCCCCTCTCATCGGTGACTGTAGAGATAACACACACTGCAACCTCATTTTCACAACACTTAACCAAATCAACCAAAAATACTAAAGCCTTTACTTTATTTTAAAACCAAAAATTTTAACTTTTTTTCTTCTTTCCAACCACACAGCCGACTACGCTCAACGCTTGCCACCTTATGCGCCACCACATCCACCACCAACAAAACCGTCCATGATTATGCCTACCGCAGCGCCACGCGCACATCTTCCGCCCACTAATAATAAAAATAATAATAATAATAATAACAACAACAGCCAACATCCATTTTACCTTGCACATAAAGCAAGTCCGACATTCGCGTCCAGCATTGTTGGCGTTAATAGACCAGCACTGCCGCCATCAAATGTCAAACGCATGGCGCATGAACTACAAAATATGCCAAATTTTCACCTGCCTAATGCTGCGCAGCGTACACTTAATAAACATTTGGTCGCACCGCCAGTCTACACAGCGCCCGATGTTAGTCACAAGCGACCAATGCCTACACCTGCGTCCACTTTTGCACGCCTAGCGACACCCGAAGTGGATGAGAGTGAATTTGATATGCGCGGCGCTGTTGCATTGCCACCCGATACGGGTTCAGATCATTCGGGTGGTAGTAATGAGACTGTGAAGATCGATGATGTTATATTGTATGCCGATGCATGAGGAATGCGGAATGCGGAATGAGGGGGTGAATGAGTTGGATGGGAATGAAATGAAAAGAAAATGTATAACTATCATCCATGTATACGAGTTGGCATCCGAAAAGTATGCTTGTGTCGATTTACAAAGGTGTTTCCTTAGCATACTTTCTAGCTTACTAATTAATTCCTTGCAGTCAGGCAAAGCTGTCTAAATCTGTTGTGAAAATGCCGTATGCTTTTTGTTGAATGTTTTAATTGAATGAATCAATTTTCTGTAGTCACATAGTATTAAGATTACTAGTTTAAGAAAAGTATGTAAGTGAATGTATGGGTATATGTGTGTGTACGACTTTATAGATTAACGGCGCTATTCCCTCGCCAATGACTCATCGCATGACAATTATTTTGACTATTGCGCCTAAACTTAGGCGCCGAATATACAAATTTGAGAAATTCTCGAATTCTTTCAAAGCCCTCGCACGATGCGCGAATTGCTAAGCTTTGCAAAACTTCGAGAATCCCCCTATTTGACAATTGTTATTGAGAGCGCTTCGAATACAGTTTTTGCGACATAGTTTTAGGCGCAGTAATTAAAGCAATAGTCATGCGATGAGTTTTGTCATTGGCGTGTGTATGGGGCTGAGAGAATCTAATCCAATGCAGAATAGATAAGTTCATGTTTTCAAAACGAATTTGAAAGAGATTTATAATTCAAACCAAAAAACATATTTTTCAGAATCCTAAAATAATGGTTAGATATACATATGTAATATTTTTATATAATAAAATGACTTCATATTGTATCTCTGTATTTGTCAAACGTGGTTTTACCGATGAAATGTGGCTACAGCGATTTTTAAAGTCACAATAAATTATCACAAAATTTGTTGGCATATATTCCGGTTACTTGACTCTCCTTAATATGATTTGAACGGATATTTGTAAGGTGCTTATTATAAGTGTACGACACTCAACTGTTGACAAGTTTTGAGTATTTATTTTTTTTTACTATTTAATTTTAATTGTTTTTTTTTTTTTATTAAAATATAGTTCATTCTATAGGTCTGTCTGCAGATCGCATGAAAAACGAAAAATTCATATAAAATTATGCACCAGAAATGGCAAGCAAAGTTTCTGCTACCAAAATTTCTTCAATCAAATCTACAGCAACATCATAGTAACTTTTCAAGCAACAGAAGTAATGAAAAAAATAAATCTTGTGAATTTTCTTGAGAATTGCAGACAGTCGTTATAACAAAAATCATATAAATCTAAGTTTCAAACTTCGTAAAAAATTTAGAAATATGAACAAATGTTAACACTTTTTATTCAAAATTTTTGGGTGGATAGTTTTATAGTCCATTTTAGCATAAAAAAATAAAGTCTTAAGTGGCTTCAAAATACCGTTAATTTTTAGGATTTTTTAATCTGATTGAATGTGGTGAAATTTTGATGATACTTTGTTAATATTTTTTGTTTTTAATTTATAAGTTAATGAATGAATGTGGCGAAATTTTGATGAAACTTTGTTGATATTTTTTGTTTTTACTATTTGGACAGGCTGAAACTGGGATTTATATGGCGTGTTTTATGGAATGAACTATATTTTTATTTAAAAAAAATGTCATTATGTGGTTGTCGTTTAGTTATTATAAGCCGTGCATATATACATAAATACATTAAAAACATATTCGGGAAAAATTTTTCTAAATATTATTATTATGTATTAACCTTCAATTATTTAATATTTTCCTGAAACTTTGTAAATGTTTCTAAAAAAAAGTACTTAATCATAGGAATCAAGTTTTAACTTTCATTTGTCTCCATAAGGTAAAGTTGACCTTTGATAAGTAGGCGTGCCGGGACTTCATACGTTTTCTACAGTAAAACCTGGATAAGGTGTTTGCCTAATTTTCATTAAATCTATAGATTTGGCTTTTTTATATATTCTAAAAGCCCCGATAGAAGAGTAAATACCAAATTTAACGCATGACCCTTTACACCCTTTAGAAAAATATCCAAAATTCGCTAAGTGGAGTCGAGACTTCTTTGCGCTGCAGAAACCAAGCCAACTGTTGGTGTTATTTTGAATTATGTTCCGAATTTAAAGCTTATCAAGTTTTTTCGTTGTATCTAAGTTCATTTTATTGAGGCATCACTTTACTATATACGTGCATATGTATGTTTATGTATGGACAGGAACTGGAAACACCCTGTTTCTGTCCAACCCATTTTGTTTTTTCAATAACTGCAGTTTCGAAATTAAACCATATAGGGAAGCCCAGAAAGTTTTTTTAGTATGAAAAAAATTTAAAAATGTCTCGTTTAGAGTGAGACTTTATACAAAGTGCCAGTAAATGTGTATTATACAGCACAAATATAAAAACAACATCACAAAAATCACATAAATACTAATTTACATTTTTACTTTTTTTTAATTATTTGATCCTACACTTTTAGCATATCTCTTTGTTCAATTTAAAGTGTCCAAACTACGTATTTCAAATTTTGTTTTTTAAGTGTACGTCTATATTTTACACTATACTAAGTTTTTTTTTTTACTAATATAGATACTACATATTCGTAAAATATTTGCCAAATCTCTTTACGAGTAATACGCATACATATGTATGCATGTATGCACATATATGTGTATGTATATCTACATACAGTACATAAATAAAAAGCATATACATATATGTAAGTATATTAAGCGAACACAAACATTCTAAATGTTGGCATTTTCAAATCGCACACACACACACACACACACCAATGGCTTGTGATTAATAATAATAATTTATACGACTAATAAATTAAGCAAAGTATGTATGTATGTATATATGTAAATCCTACTAAATATATGTTCATAAATTACTATCTAAACTAAATAAATGTGTTTCGACCAAACTATTTTGCTTTATAGACTGTAAGTTATTTAACAATATGTAAATGTACATATGTATTGTATAAAACGATAAACAACGAGGCTTATGCCATTGTATATATGTATGTATGTAATTTGTAATTAAACTGTATTTGTAATTGATAAGTCGTTAAACTGATATAAAATGATTTATTATACATACATAAATAATGCTGTATGATTATTTTGAAATAATTAAATGAAAATAAATTCAACAAAATAAATTGTCTGGTTTATTCCTGAATTAATTTTTGTTTTATTTTAAGAATTGACATAGGCAACTTAAAATAATATCGAGCGCTAACCGCCAAAAAGACGTAAGCGACTTTTTTTTAATTTGGTTTTTTTATGCAGAAATGTATCTAGATGCCTTAGGAATGTTTCTGCATCAGAAAGAAAATTAAAAAAAAATGTCGCTGGTTCGAAATGATCATCCTTTTACCGCCCATTAACTTAATTGCGGTGATTTTTTGGGAAGAGCTTTGTAGATCCGCAGATATACATATTGAAATATGCACGCACCTTTGGTCTTGAAAATATCCTCTTACTTAGCTGCTCCAAGTATGTAAATGTGCACGTACTCCAAATTGTAGATGTGCAGTACTCGACGTTTTACTTACAGTTATGCCTTACGATAGAAACACACAATCACTTAAGGTCTAACCACATAATGCTTAATCTATTACTTAGAACAAAATCCTTACACTCTGTACAGACTACTACTACAATATTGGCGATACCTGACTACAATACTCTGTGCTTTGGTTGGGGAAGAAGGACGAATGAAATCTAGTCGAAGAACGTTGCCAAAATTTCATAGATGATTATAGAATGGCTAACAGATGGAATGCTTAATTTTCTGCCGTGAATTAAATATAAAAAGGTCATTTTATGCCGGTCAGAGGAGCTATGCGCACCTGTCCAACGGATACACTTGGTGTCATTACAGGCACTCCGCCACAGACTCTTCTGATTGAGAAGGAGGACTGCTGGAGCGCCCAACGTCTGCCCAAAACAATGAGCATGAAAAGGGGTCACTCGGAAGTTCTTAAGCCATTGCTGGGTAATCCTGCTATCAAGCTACCAGAATTATCCTTCTAAAAACCCTATAAGGTCAGAATTCCTCAATTGGACTGCTGTGAAGCGACAATATTTACGATTGACAAATGGTTCGTGGTATGGTACACCGAGGGATCGAAAATGGACGACGAGAACATTGCGACAGGCGTACTTGAACCAAGATTCCAGAAAAGTCTGCCAATGGGCACATACCCAACCACATTCCAGGCGGAAGCCCTGCGCCTGCGTTCGCGATAAACATTATTTCGGATAGTCAGGCAGCATTAAAGGCCTGCAACTAATTTAGGACGGCATCAAGGCTTGTGAACAATTGTAAAACTCTTTTGAACCACCTAGGAATGCTACCCACTGGTGGAAGTCAAAGGGAATGAGATAATCAAGGAGATTCAGAACATAGCCAGAAGGGTCTTACTTAGAACTCTTACTGGCTACCTGACAGGGGAATGCGACTTAAAGTTCCATTTGAATGAAATGGGGCTTTCTGTAGGTTTTGTGGACTGGTGGATGAAACTCTAGAGAATAGGCTATGTGACTGCCTACGTATGATGAATCGCAGACTGATACACCTTGGGAATCGAGTATCTTCTCCATCTAAAATATGGAATATGGCACCCGCCAATGTGCTAATTTTTTAATTAGCCAAAGCTGGAGTGATTACAATTAGGGTTTAGCACAATAGATCTTTTTAGGTCGCAGAACGAGAATACCCGACGTAATAAGGATAATTATAAACATCAGGCGACCCCCCAGAGCAATATTTTTCAGAAGGAAATGCTTGCTATAGAGAAATCGATACAATTGTCAAAAGCGGTCTAAGATCTTCTAAGTAGTTAGACAATAACTTTGACGACTAAACGAAGAGGCGAGAAGATCCGATATTCGACTTCAAACTTTTGCGGAAAGACTGTAAAAACGTATTAACTGATTTGAGAACGGGTCGCAACTCTTCAGCGGCTCATGCTAACTACCGTTGACATACTATGTAGTAGAGATGGGCACGGGCCGGGCTTTTGGCAGGGGCCCGGCGGGTACGGGGTACGGGCGTTCAGTAAAATTTCATAAAAGCACGAATAAGCACGAAAAAGCCCGTTGCTAATACTACAAATTTAGATAAGCTTTTGTTTTTATAAAAATAAAAAAAATAGTACATATTTAAACCTCTTTTGATAAGAGAAAAGCAAAAAAAGAAATATTTGGAAACCGATAGAAAAAATAAGATACTTAGTAGTTTTGTTTACATATCTGTACATAAAATACCTTCGACTTTTTTTACTTTCCAGAAAATATATTATAAAAATCTTTGATGTAAAAAATTGATTCGCTTAAGTAAATATACATACATAAACACAAAATTAAAAATAAGTACACAATAATAATAAGTACATATTATGTATACATACAATAAAAGTTGGCTCTTTATTTCCGGGCTGGGACGTGTCCCGTCGTGCCGGGCAGGGCCGGGCCGGGCCCCACTAAAATTCTTAACGTGCGGGCTCGTGCGTGTTTTTGAATGTTGATTTTGCACTCGTGCCGGGTCGGGCCTGAAAATTTAGGCCCGTGCCCATCTCTACTATGTAGTCGTGCCAAGGGAAACCCTAATGCATCGTCCATACTTTAGCTCCTGCATTGTCAAATACTAGATGAAATGCTTGGAACCTTCCAATTAGAGAAGTTAGGGGGCATCTCTACTGGTTACTACCATTACTAAAATTTGTTGAAAGCTCGTGATATTCTTAATATCTGCTTCAACTCATAAGAATCGGACTGCATCTGGTAGCGTTAAGGACTAACCGGTCT